CTGTCATCTTCTGCCCATGTAACAACTTTGACATTTTAGTAGAATGCAGATAGTTACAGCAGGGGTGTGAAAGTGGTACATGAGCTAATGAATATAAAATGAGTAGCGCAGCTATTGCGCTGTACAATCTTCTTGGTCTTGCCTCTTACCTTAAGCACGATGGCTACTTTCAAACAAAATACACTTTTTAAAATTGGATTTGATAGGCTAAGGTTAAGTCACTACAATAGACCCAAAAACTAGTGGCTCCAAGAACATAGAAGTTCACTGTTTGCTTCGCAGCACATACAGTAAAGGAACAATACATTCATTCCTTTCTGGTTCATTTCAATTTGCCGCCTGGCTCAGTGCTGCCCCCACAAGGTGGGGACCTGGGTCCCTTTTACCTGGCTGTTCTCCCACCACCTGGCACACTGATGGTGTTTGCAAGACTCAACCAGTTCCTACTCTGCCAGGTTTCAGAGAAACAGGGTTGTAGCAAGGTGAACACCACATCCTAAGGCCCAGGCCTTGGAAATAGCCCACCTTCTCTTGTTCACATCTGTCCCTGAGAAGTGAGGAGTCTGTGGCATGAAGGCACCATTTAGCAGGGCAGCCTTTCAACTGGAAGGGAGGGAGGGAGGGAGGGAAACAACAGAGTTCATTGGACATCTAGCAGTCTCCATGATAAGATAATCTTGTGTATTTTATGTCTGATTCTTTTATCAAATCTTCAAGACTAAAACTAATCTCCTTTTTAGGCAGAGCTGGGCCTCAATGAACACCATCAAACTGAAGTTATTAATTATATGCGTTTTGCTTGTTCGAAGAGAGGCCTGAGACTCAAAACTGTGGATTCCTGCTTCCAAGACCTCAAGGAGAGCAGGTATTCAGGGACTCTAGGGAAGCAAGAGGAACATGGCCCTTGCTGGGAACTGGTGCGGGTTGCCAGGCCCAAGCCATGACAGTCCTTTCCGGCTCCTCCTGGTCAGCTACTCACTAAGGGCAGCTACACTGAGCTTCGCAGACTGTGAAATCAACCAGGTTTCACGGGGGACCGCAATCAGACAGGCAGGTTGGCACCTCCAAGGCAGCAGAGTTGCAGAAAGGTAGTCAGGAAATGCATAGGGCTGATGGATTCATGACAGAGTCCCCAACCCTCCTTGAGTCATTCACTGAAAGACTAGGATGTAAGAGGCAGCAGCTGACAGGAAGCCTCGTCCTGAAGGTTTAGGAGAGAGAAAGACACCAAGAAACAGCATGTAACTCGCTGACTAATCCCAGATTGATAGCTGATTTGAGGCAGATGACAGTGAATTCCACTGGTCCCACCACAGATGAAAGCTATGGACACCAGGTGGATACGAGTGAGAGCTGCAAGCTGTGGCTTTCAGAGAGCTGGACAGAGGTCCTCGCTGCCACCTGCTGCCTGCCCAGCTCATGTAGCTGGGTGTCCTCTGGCTTTCCTAGTTCCCAGCAGGAAAAATCTACAATTTAAATGGCAAAAAAAATGGTATGTTCTATTAAAGAAATTAGAAAATTAATAATTTAATGAAGACTTATAAAAGTTAACCTTAGGGCATTTGGGGGGTATCTTTTTGAGCCAGGGTCTGCCTGTGCAGTTCAAGCTGGCCTTGAGCTCACTTTATAGCCAACGCTGGTCTCAATTCGCAGTGCCCCTCCTGCCTCAGCCTCCCAGTGCTGAGATAACAGGCATGTGCCACTATGCCTGGCTACTTTCAGGTTTTTGTGAGTGGTCTGATTCTGCTGGCTACATGAAACGGTAAAATCAGACATTGTTAACTCGAATGTCACAGTGCTAAGACTCGGTGTAGCTGCAACTTGCTTGGTCTCCTCCATTTACAAGAGAGGAAGAAGAAGAAGCAGTTGAGGTGGGGGCCGCAGCGCCGGCCAAGCTGAGCGTCTGAGGGTGGGGTCTTCGGAGGAGGCCGGAGAAGACATGGTGCTGCTGCTGCAGTGTGGAGAGCAGGAGGCGCACGTGACAGCTCTGTGCAGGGCTCACTGCTGGCAGTGACTGAGCTGGCCAGGGGCCACGTGACCCGGAGACACAGCGCACCTCCACTGCCCATCCTGCTCTTGTCACAGTTAGGGGACAGGGGAGATGGCTGGACCTGGGTGTGAAGAGCTTCGGTGCTGCTTGGGTGGTGGTGCCCCTGGGCGCCGTGCAGCAGCAGCACTTTAAGATCAATTCCATGTTTTTCTCATTTGGGGGGCTTTATGAAGAGAGAGATAGTAAGCCGCTCTCATTCCTCATGGGCTGTCACCAGCGTGTGACCAGGTCCTACAGTTAAAATCCTTGAAAAACAATATAAAACATGGGTGTGGTGGCACAGGCCTGTAATCCCAGCCTCTAGGAGGCTGAGGTGGGAGGATCAAAAGTTGAAGCCCAGCCTGGGCTACTCAGTGAGACCTTGTCTCAAAATAATAAAGGACTGGGGGTGTACTCAGAGGAAGGGCCCTGGGCTCAGTCCCCAAGCCACAAAGAAAAGCAGATAAACTACTTTCATGTGACTTGAGATTCTTAAATGTGATAAGACTAATTGAAGTAAAAAACGTAATACTGAGAAACTTTTTACATTGATGATCATTCAAGAAGCATGTCAGCATGTATTTATATGAAAGTATGCACATTTAAAGAATTAGCCACAATTTAATTGTTTTCATAGATGTCATAAGTGGAGCTTAAATTGTTGTCATTGTTTTATGAATGAAGATGTGGTTACCCAGGAGGATGCCATTGCAGGGCCCGTCCCCTAGTGATCATGGGAGCATCCTGCTCTCCACGCGCAGGTCTGCGGTGCTCTCAGGGCCTGGCCTCTGTCTTGCAGGCTGGCGGAGGAGACCTTCACCGTGGACGAGGTGGCGGACGTGCTGAGCGGGCTACAGGCCGTGGTGCACAGCGAGGTGGAGTCGGAGCTCATCCACACGGCCCACACCAACGAGCTGCTCCTGCGCCAGCTCTTCGAGCAGGCCGAGCGCTGGTACCTCAAGCTGCGGACTGATGTCTCAGAGCTGGAAAACAGGTGACATGGCGCTTGTGTGCTGGGCTGCTGGGACCGCACAAGCCCTGGGGTCAGGAAGTGGCCTTTTGGGCTTTCACAGTTCCTTCCGCAGCTTTGTTCATAGTTGGTCTTACAGCAGGCTTTTATTTATTTATTTATTTATTTTGTGATGCCACGAATCGAACTCAGGACCTCATACTTGCCAGGCAGGCGCTGTCACTGAGCTGCGTCCCAGACCCCAGTAGGCTTTTAAAGACAGGTCAAGGAAGAAAGAAGCATTGTCAGATAAGATAAATGCCATAGATTCAGACTAGTGGCATTATAAATTGATGTTAAATAATTGTGTTTACACTTTTAGTAGGAAAGGAAATATTAAAAGGTTTATAACTGTATCCTTGAAGCACTTACTAAATGCTTCACCGTAAAATCGGTGAAGTTGCAACCAATGCTGAGACAAGGCCTGGGGGCCCAGCGGGCTCCCTGCCAGCGAGGACGGGGACTCCCTCAGTGCCTGCGCCCAGAAGCCCATCTGATGACTCTGCCACAACTCTGAGCAGTTGATACGTGTTTATGGGGGGGGGGGTGTTTTTGTCCTTTTGAGGCAGGGTCTCAGTCTGCAGTTCAGGCTGGCCTTGAACTCTATGTGGCCCAGGCTACTCTCCAACGCACAGCGATCCTCCTGCCTCAGCCGCCCCGCGCTGCCACTCCCAGCTGAGCACTTGATCTTCCAAGTTTACAGCCTGCTGCTTGCGCACAGGCGTAGTCAGCTCCTGTCCGTCTTGGTGCCAGGCAGGGACCTCCGCCCACACCATCTCCCGCTCCCAGGCACACTCGGCTTGGATTCAGTAGCTACTGTGGTCTATTGCGTTTTCTGAGGCATTTCCAAAAGCCCGCTGGTCTTCCCCAGCTGTCACAGAGCGGTCTGCTGGGCTCACGCTGCATGTGCACTGCCGTTGGTCCCCGTCACCTGGGGCCACTGTCCTTTCTCATGCTGTGATGTCAATAGGTTGATGCCACGACTGTGTTCCTCTCTTGTGTGATACAGGTGTGCTCTAAATGAATGTTTCTTTTCCATTTGCTTTCCTCTCCAAGAGAGTTACTAGAACAAGTTGCAGAATTTGAAAAAGCAGAATTTACATCTTCAAGAAAAAAGGTAAGTTGGGGTCATTCTGATGGAGTGCTGACCTCTACGGGCCAGCCGCAGGCGAGGGGAATAGGGGGAATTCCTGAGGAAAGCATTCGAGGGGCTTCCATGCCTGTCAGCTTCAGGCAAAAGAAGTCAAGCCCAGGAAAGACCTGGAAACCTCCTCGTGCCTGTTAGGACGCCCGCACACCTGTGTAGCGCACGCACGCACGCACGCACGCACATGATCTCTGCAGTCCAGTGGGAGCCCCAGCCCCTTCCCCCGTTCCTGGCGGAGGCCGAGCGCCCACTGTGGCTGAGCTGTGCTCGCCTGGCCTGTTGTGCACAACACTGCTAGTTGTGCTCTTATTTTTGACTCCTGGGCCCTGGGACAAACAGAGCAGAGCACTGCGTACAGTGTCGCCCGCTTGGCAAGTGCAGCGCTGCGCACTGCCTGCAGCGGGATTTCTTCATTTCCTTTCAGCCCATCCTAGATGCCACAAGGCCGAAACTTGTCCCCCTTAACGAGGGTGGGACAGCAGAGCTCCTCAACAAGGTAACACCGGCATCCCGCTGAGAAGCAGAAACCCTCTGGCTCCATCCCCCTGTGGCCTGAACAACTCTAGGTCCTGAAGTGGGGGAGGAGTTGGCCCTGGCTTTGGGCCCGGCACCAAGTCCAGCCTAGAGACTAGCCATAGTGCCCAGTGGCCAGCAGAGGGCGCGCCGGCCATCCAGATAGTGGGAAGCGGCTTGGGGTACCTTGTCCTTCGTCCTGGCCAAGGGTGGGTTGGGGCACTATTTGTTATAGAGAGTTAAAGTCTGTGAGCCATGATGAATTTTTTTTAAGTCTATGAAATTGTCAGTGTGTAAATACCTTTATGGCTCCTGTATGCTGTCCAGATCTCGGTGGAGATCAAAGCAGTGTAATGCCAGGCCCCAGGCCCCGGGCACTCAGAAAGCTTAGGGTTTCACTGGGAAGTTAGAGCGGATGTTCTGGAAGCAGAGACAGAATCTGCCCCACATGGCGAGGCTGGTGACACAGTGACATGGGCCCAGGGAAGGGCAGGTGGCTGTTGGCAGGGAGCAGAATGGCCACAGGGAGAGGTGGGCCGAGCTGGCCGGGCCAGGGTGAGGGGCAACTGAGAAGTGCGGTGAGTGTTTACAGCACTTCTGTTTATTAAGTGAGGGACACGGTGCCGTGAATCCCCGCAGAATCCTCCTCACCCCACACACCCTCACCACAGCGTGCTCAGCCCTGGAGCCTCCTTCCTGGGCGTCTGCGAGCTGTGAGACTGCTGCGACCAGGCACCAGTGGAGACCCAGCTCGCCCCCCAAAGTGAACGTGGCGGACCCTGAAAGGTCAATGTCTTGAATGGATTCGGGACACTGAGGCAGTCACAATGGAGCAGCTAAAGACACTCAGGAAGGAGGACTGCAGAGCTGGACCGGGGGAAGGAAGAGTGTGCTGGGCAAGGCAGATCCTGAGGGCTGGGGAAGCAGTCTCTTCCTGCAAGGAAGGTTTTGAGATGAAGTGCGGGCCACAGTTTTCAGTCCCACCCTGTGTACACTGCGCCCAGTGAGAAAGGAGACTGAACTGGGTGGTCTCAGTTAGAGCTGTCGGGCCGGACAAGGCTACTGTGTCTCTGCTTGGCTAGCGTCCACGGGGCAGGGCAGAAGGAGAGCGAGTGTGGGCCGAAGTGAGGGGTCACTAGGGGGAGCTAGGAGTCTTGAGCCAAGACCTCCAAGGGTGTGGAGCCTGGGGGCCTGGGCAGAACCGGAACCCCAGACATGGGGGTTGTTGAAGTATAACATAATTGAAGTTTTAAGTGAAACAAGTCATAATTGCAAGTACTAAAATGTTCTGGTTAAAATAATAATTTGAATTCACTCACAAAGGAAATTTCAAGACTCCAAGAAGAGAATGAGAAATTGAAGTCAAGGCTGAAGGCAATTGAGACGCAGGTAACAGAGAAACCCTGTAACAAAATTGCTGAGCCGCTGGCAGAGCGGGCACTGGCAGAGCAGACACCGAGACCACCCTTCCCTGTCCACTGACTTGTAGGCCACAAATGCACTGGACGAGAAGGCGAAGCTGGAGAGGGCGCTCCAAGCCCTGCAGCTGGATAGGGGACAGCAAGAGGTGAGCCTGTTTTCCCTTTTCCCGTGGTCTAGATAGGAGTCGTGGGTGTTCCCCAACTCCACACCAGCCCCCTGCCCTGGGCCCCCCTGTGCACCGAGCCAGAGAAGACCTGCATCCAGGGCAGGCAGGCCTGGGATTTGATTGGAGGGGCAACGCGTTCCACTTGAGTTCGACGTCCAGTTAAGCAGAAAAAATGAAAGGACCCGCTTCCGTACCAGGTTGTATTGTGCTTGGCATTGCTGAAGTTAGCCCCGCGTGGGTGATGAAATGGAATTGACCCATCTGGGTCCTCAAACTCCCCTGTCCCCGATGCCCTGCATAACACTGAAGTTGGCCAGCAGTATTCCTCTTCGGCCTCTCAGAGGGTGGGAGCCAGGAGGCTGGTGTGACCCAGTCCCTGCAGCATTGCCGAGGGTCGCGTTGTCACCATCTTCTCAATGTTCCAAAGTCGGCCCCCACAGGTTTTGCTGAGCTTTTTTTCTATGAAACTCATAAGCATACACCAGGGCGGCGAGGCCAGTACAGGGAGCCAGTGCCGGCTCAGCCCATGCTGCACGTCTTCCGGACCAGATCTTAGCCACTGCGGTTTCCCCGGCTGGATTGCATGGCATTGGGAGGGAACTTCCTACATGACTAGGGAAAAGGAAAATTTGTACAACTTTTCACTCGAAATACTCCAAGCACCATATATTTATAAACTTGAAAGCTGAGTGTTCCAGAATAGCTCTCAAATTCTACAGTTGCAAACATTTTCAGATGATATATTTGTTTAAAAAGCCATTTGGGGCTTTGTTTCCACTTTAAAGAGGTTTTGGATACAGCCATTACAGAGCAAAATAAAGGCAACAGAGGGGAGAAGTTTCAGAGGAAGGGGACAGGGAGGAAATAGTAAAAGGGCTGAAATGGCCAAGACATGACGTCAGTGCGCCAGCTCCCCAAAACCAGAGTAGTAACTGTGCATCACAAACATACAGCCACAAAACAAGCGTTAAAGAGCTAAAGCTGGGCGTGGTGGCACACGCCTGTAATGCCAGCACTGGGGAAGCTGAGGCAGGAAGATCACCCACGCTCAAGGCAGCCTGGGCTACACTCTGAACTGTAGCTGTCACCTAGAAAACAGCTCCCTGCGGGACAGCTGCGGCCCATGCATTTCCTTCCTCTGGGAAGAGCTGCAGACCCACGCCACTTCAGTTCCACGTGATGTCACCTTTCAGAGTTCGCAGCAATACTAATGACATGGCGCCTGCCATTTGATTAACTACCTGACAGAAGATTCCAGTTAGCAGAAACAGGCGCAGGGGAGGAGAGCTGATGGCCAAGGCAGCTCCGCCCTGGTCTTGGGGTGAGCTTCCAGGAGGTGGGCAGGGTGCTCCCCACTCCCGCCTGTCCCCTAGCCAGGGCTTCTGTGAAATGATGACACCTTAATTATCTAGAGTCCCAAGGGCATTGTTGATAATTAACAAGGTCCTGTCCCTCACTGATAAGGAAGCTCCAGGCTTGCTTGTTTGCCACATGGGGATCAGGATGGGGTTGCACTGGGGCCTGTGGTGTCCAGAGCACATGCTCTGCCAGCCAGGGCTCCCTGCCAGGCCAGGACTCTTCTCCCGCCTCCGCCCTCGGATCCTGTCCTCAAGGCCAAGAGCCCCGGAGATCATTAACTTTCCTGATAGCGCGCGCTGGTGGCTCCAAGGTCAAAGAGCTGCCTAGCTGTCCTGGCCAGGGGCGGCTCTTCTCGGGGGCCTTGATAGTCATTGGCTTTCAGATTCACTCCTTGAAGGTTAAGAGAAACTTCATACCATGTCCCTAAACGTAAGACACCAAATTCTTCTGAAAATGTCATCTTTCTCAGTAGATCCCTTTATTTTTCTATATGAATATATTCCATATTTGAAAAATAAACAATTTGATGTGCTCAGTAATTCTTTATGCTGACGGTAAGCACTGTCCTAAGCATTTATTAGTTCTTTCAGGGCCTGGGGCCCAAGTGCAGAGTAGACACAGGCCTTTATTAGTGACAGTGGAGAAAGCTCAGCAGCCCAAGTGCCTGCCTGGCAGGCACAAGGTCCCGAGTTGGATCTCTGGTACCAAAAAAAGAAAACAAAAAGGCTAACTTCAAATGTGAGCAGGGCTGGGCCTGGTGGCACGAGTCTGAGACCCTGTCACACACACACACACTATCTGAGCAGGAATATTGTGGGACAGACTGTTCCTTCTTCATTTGTAGCGGGCATAGGCCACTGTCTTGCCTAGCAATACAGATCTCTCTTTGGCCATGAATTTTATCAGTCAAAACCAAGATCTGGAAAGAAGATCCCAGCAGCAGGTTAATTGTGCAGAAATATGCATTGCCCCTTACTGTGAAAAACCAAAATCTTGTGAATTTAGAAGCCTTTATAGGCCATTTTATGTCCTCAAAATATTCTCTCCTAAATAATAACTAAAATATGTGTAAATGTTATTTTATAATTTTTCTACTTGTACTACTTTGAAGAATTAAAAACTCTTCACCAAGATTTTTCTAAATTTGGCTTTCCAAAATGTCACCTATGTGCGATGCCAGCCCTAGCACACTCAACGTTGTCATCAGTCTCACCTCTCAACTAGGTGTGGTGGCCATGACAATACCTGTAATCCCAGCGGCACTCGGGAGGCTCAGGCAGAAAGACCACTGGGAGCTCAAAGCCAGCCTGGGCTACATAGACCATTTCAAACCAAAAGAAACAAAGAGACCTTACTGCCCTGCCAGAGCACCAGCAGTTCCTCAGTCCTGTCTTGCGAAGGCCGCGGTTTGGGGCGCAGGGTGGGCAGGGAGGCCCCGCCTCTGGCCTTGCCACTCCTCTCCTCAGCAGCCCACGGGAAGGTATGTTCTGCACTTGTCTCCTGCCCACAGGACTTAGTAAAGGCGCAAGGTCTGAGCGACCTGGAAAACACGGTGGCAGCTTTGAAGAGCGAGTTTGAGAAGACGCTGAGCGACAGGGTGGAGAGCCAGAAGTCCCTGGAGGACAAGCTCGCAACAGCCAGACATGACCTGCTCAGGGTGCAGGGCCAACTGGGCCTGGCAGAGAAGGTGAGGGGCTGCAGCCTGTGTGCTGGGCACACGCGAGGGGAGGCCCCATATGCCAAGGCTTCCTGCCACCCAGCTTATGTCCCAAGAGTTGGTGTTTTGTTTTGGTTTGGTTTTTGTTTTTTGCGGAACTGGGGATTGAACTCAGGCCCTCGCGCTTACCAGGCGAGCACTTACTGTACTGAGCTATCTCCCCAGGCCCGCAAGAGTTGTTGCTCTGGAGGCTGCCATACAAGGCGTGGAGCCAGGGAGGCAGTCGCCTGCTGTCCCCTGAGGTGGCCACAGGGTCTTTGCCTGGGTGGAGGGGTAGGCAGCTCTTAAGGTTTCCCTACCATTTTTATAACGCACAAGAGCCCATGAAGTACAAAGAGGGCTCAGCTGTTCACTGTAGGGCTGAGCCTAGGAACCTTGGGTGCAGTTTAACCTGAAATGCTCCCCCCGCGCTGCTGTGTGCCTTGGGAAGCGCGGTGCTCCTTTGCCTTGAAGATCGGGGTAATATTTCAAACGGACGGCCCAGGGCTGAGGCTTGCTCCGCTTGAGGAGCAATGCTAATTTATTGGTATTGCACGTGGGAAAATATGAGTGGTTCACTGGCTTCTTGCCCTGATTTTATGTGTATCTTATGAGGAAGTTAGACAGTACTGTGCACACTGACAGTAAATTTAGAGAGAGCAGAATGCCTCGGCCTGACATTTGTCGGTCTCCTTGGCTGTGGCTCGGCAGCAGGCTGACGGTTCTCTCTAAGCAGGAATTGGAGAAGAAATTCCAGCAGACCGCGGCTTATCGGAACATGAAAGAGATCCTCACCAAGAAGAATGACCAGATCAAAGAGCTGCGGAGAAGGCTGGCGAAGTGAGCGGGCCTCTGTCCTGAGGGGGGCTACGCGGGCGCCTGTCCTGGGGGTGGGGTGCTGTGGGCTGCCATTGGCCACCACACATTTCATCCATATCCTCCATGGCCTCCCAGCTGACTGCAACCAGCAGGAGGGTCAAAGTGGTAGCAGGCAGGCTGCCCTGGGCCTCTCTCCCATGTGGCCTCCCAGGCTAGGTGCCCTTGGCCTGCTGGGCCATCACTGAAGACTCCTTGGCCATCTTTGCCTTCATCAAAGTTTAAGAGCAGAGAGAAAGTGATGGTCCGTGGAGTGAAAGGTCAAGTCTGTCCTTGGAGAAGGAGTGTCACTAATGCTGTACCCACACAGTTGGGTCCGCGGTCCCTGGGATCTTGCAATGGAGGTGACCCTGAGACCACAGAGTGGGACACAGGACTTGAGCCTAGAGTACAGCAGGCCACATTTGCTGTTGCAGAGTCGGTTCTGGTCACTGCAGGGGTCCATGTGGGTTTCTGACCTCTGCCATAGCGGAGATGGGGAGGGAGCAGGGCAGGGTTGCTGGTAAGTCACTCATCTGGTAATGACAGCGACAACCACAAACACATCATGACCCACTCCTCTGATCTTTATCCCCAGATACGAAACTGAAGATTAAAAACAGAAGCCACCTCCTGTTTCTGGAGCAGCGTGCCACACTCTTCCTCATTTTTCTAGTATTTAGACTCTGCTCCCAATATTTAGAGCTGGAGTTCCTATTCTGAGTTGTCTGATTGAAAAGGGAAGAACGCATAACGATTCCAGCTGGAGGTCACCAGTGCAGCCTTGCCCTGTCCTGACCAGGCAGTGAGGACTCCATGTGATGGGATTTAGAGACATAGACGAGGCTTATCCTTTTGTGTTAGCATAAAGAAGGTTCTTTTTGATAAATGTTAAGTGACTTAATGACATCTATACTTTTACATTCCCCAGAGGTAAAATAAACAAGAGTTCTGACAGATGGCTATCACAGCTCTTATGTTTAGTACTGAAATCTGTACCCTGTTTGGCCATTAAAATGTGAGTTGACTGAAATGGGAATACTTAGCCTGTCACATGCAGCCTTCTCACCAGTTGTAAAGAAAATGAAAAGCGGGCTGTGAGGATTGGGCTCCCCTCCTGGCCCGGCCCCTGCCAGGAGCTGCTGCTGAGCCCAGCCGCTGGCATCTGGCAGCCACAGACGCAGGGCCACCGGCACTTCTCCCTCCAGAAAGCCTGTGGATGAGCTGGGGATGCTTGCCTGCCTGGCAAGCGCGAGGCCTTGAGTTTGATTCCCGGTACCAAAAACGAGATGAAAGCACCCCGACTTGGAGTAGGTGCGATCCTTAGGCTTGTTTCCAGAATACTTTCAGATGGCTTGCTAACTTAAATTTATACTCAGCCTACAGTCAGTTACAGACTTCAGCTCGGACTTGGGGTCCGGTTGATTTTCTGCACCCATGCGACAGCACACGGGCGAGCCGCAGTTTTCTTTCTGCTGGTCCTGCCTTCTCTCAGTGACTTTGGCTAAGTGGTTAGAAATCGCACTTGTGGGACGCAGTAACATGCCGTAGTAGCGGTGGACAGAACGAGGCGCTGCTGCCTCAGGAGAATGCGCACGCCTTTCTCATGTCGCTGCCCCGATTCACACTTGCGCAGGGCAGGGCGTCGGCCCGCCTGCAACCTGAGGGCACTGTTCCAAAGACTACTGACCAGAGCTTCAATCTCATTTTTCTTCAAGTTCTGAATACAAGGGTTGAATGTATTTTTTTTTTTATGGGCTGTATATTCAATTATTGAAGGAACAATGGTGAAAGATGACTTCCCTCCCGAAAAAGGGAGGCAGACGGCGTGGATAAAAGATCAGGAAAGGGGAACATCTGTTAAGCCCCATTGGATCCATGCTCCTCCTCGTCTCCATCGTAGAACACGCCCCGGTTCTGCGTCCTTCAGAGCTTGAAGGCCCTGACCTCATCCTACGGCTCTAGCCTGACACGACGCGCCCTCCGAGCTCCTTCCGCCCTCTGTGGCCCCCAAGGCTCAGATAATTCTAACCAGAGGGTCAGCACATCCTGGAATGCTCTGTCCTAGGCGCGGGGCCAGGCTCAGGGAAGGTGCGGTGGAAAGAAAACCTGTAGTCCAGGGAAGAACTGAACTTGGGTTTTGGTAGCGGCTTTGCAGTCCTCTGTATAGTGTGTCCCACTTGTCCGCTAGTGAATTCAAAAGCATCTGTGAGGGCTGGAGAGATGGCTCAGTGGTCTAAAGCACCTACTTGGAACAAGCTTATCAAAGCATCAGGGACTGCGGTTCAATCCCCCAGCACCACATGCCAGCCAGCCCCGCCCCCTGGTGGGCTGAGCTGGCCACACACACACACCACTCTCTCTCTCTCTCTCTCTCTCTGTGTCTCTCTCTCTCTCTCTCTCTCTCTCTCTCTCTCTCTCTCTCTCTCTCTCTCAAATAAAAAAAATAAAAAAAAATAAAAAAGCATCTGTGAAAACCGGAAACCCAGGAGGCGACCCTGGTGCATCTTGGTACAGATTGACTCTTGACTGCTTCTGCTTTTGTCATCCTTTAACTCATCCCCCTCAGCAAAATACAGCTCTAAATTCGGGTTTCTTTTGGTGGTTTTCTGGCTGTAGGGTTCATGTCATGTGACTGAAGGGGGCCCCTTCGTGTGTGTCGGCATCATTACGAATGTGGCCAGGGTGCCCTGAACTAGTGGTCAGGGCCACGAGTTGCTTTCACCTAACAGAGCAGAGGATCCTGCTAGGTATGTCTGGGCTCCAACTTCACTGCTAAATGCAAATGGAAAGCTTTATTTCTTTTTGACATTGTTTTTTTCCCCCTTGTATTCTTACATTTTAAGGCTTTTAAGTGTTTAAATGATCATTTGCTTGTGTCTTGTTCATTGAAATTGCTCGACATGAAACAAGTAATTTTCTTTGATAAAGCCTGACTCCAGTATCTCTATTCTCAAAACTAACATTTCAGTTCCTGCTGCTTTAGACCCACCACACATTGGGTCACCGGAATTTGGCGCAATCCCCGCTCCCGTGTAAACTCTTACGTCCTGAGGTTGGACTGTTAGAAATTGAAGACGCAGCATCATGACTCAGCCTTTCAGAGAGAAGAGCTGGCCCCACTACTGTGTGTATCTGGGTGGTCGTACTTGGTGACTATTGAAAGTAATTTTCAGCACCACTTAGAAGAAAATCTTTCAGTATTTCCTGAGGGAAAGGGTGCACCCAACCTCAGCCTTAGAGGAGGAGGTCGAGCAGGGGTCCTGGCACCCTACACCCTGGGTCCACAGCTCCCCGGCAAGGGGCGCCTCCTGGTTGCCACCTCATTCAGGAGTGAGTGCAGGAGTGAGTGCGACCGATGGACTCTCCAAGGCGTGAAGTGCAGCTTCCTCTCCTTCGTAACACACACCTTTTACAGATTAGTAAACCCCTGCTGCTAACCAGAGTGAAATGAGCTATGAACATCCTTTAGAAGTTTTAGGGGCCAGAGAGATGGTTCAGTAGAATAAGCACTTGCCTGGCAAGCACAAGGGCCTGAGTTCAATCCCTGGTTCTGCCAAAAAAAAAAAAAAAAAAAGTGTTAAAAGTAACAACAGGCCTACCATCAGACTGACAGCGTGAAATGGATTTTCCTGAGCTCTTGCAGAAAAAAACCTAAATTTTAGAGGCCACAGCGTCCCCCCAGTAAACAATAGCAGGCTCAGCTCCTCTCTTGCTACTGTGTGTGGAGTACTGAGGCTGGAACCCAGGGCCGTGCACCTGCGAGGCAAGGGCCCCACCACCAGCCTATCTATGTCCCCAGCCCGACTGTCTTTCAAAAGCATGAGCAACCAATGTGCTGGTGCACACCTGGAAGCACTGTGGGAGGCTGAGGCAGGAGGGTAACAAGTCCAAGTCCTCCCTGGGCATCTTGGTAAGACCCTGTCTCAAAACTGACAAACAAGAAAGTGGGCTGGGGATGTAGTTCAGTGTGAAGGCCCTGGGTTCAAACTGACAAGAGGAAAACAGACTAAACCAGGATCTCAGCTGGGATCAGGGCCCTGACAAACCTGGCAAAACCTCACTAAGTCTTACCCAGGCTCTCCAAAGTGCAGGCCCTGAGGATTTGTGCATGGCGGTTCTCAGGGAAGTGAGCCCAGGGAACCCTGCCTAGTGCCTACAGCTCTTCCTGCTTCCACCCATACCTGGGGAGAGTTGTGACTGCTCCACAGTGTAACTCAGTTCACCCTGACTGTGCTTACCAGAGCCACGGAGCTCTGTCGCCACCTGATCGGCACCCACCTGCAGATGCAGCAAGCCTCTGGCCCCAGCTATGTGTGTGGCGCTGCCCCAAACTCCCAGCAAGCTTCTGGTTGGAGTCCTTGGTGTGGGAATGGACCCAGGAAGCAGCAGGCAGGCAGGAAAGGGGGTGAAGAGTGTGGGGTGCAGGGTTGGAGATGAAGGGGGGCTGGGATGGTGACCCTGGCATCAGGTGTGTCAGGGCCGATAGTGCTCCTGTGGCCGGGAAAGGGGTCCAGGTGAGGATACAGAACCTTTTACAGATGAGAGTGTGGGGTCTGGGCAGATGGACAAAGACAGTGGATCCTAGTGTGCTTGGGGGTGCAGAGGGAGTGGTGACAGGTCTCACCAGGCTGGCCTTGAACTCACTATGTAGCCCAGGCTGGCCTCAAACTTATGGCGATCCTCATGCCTCTGCCTCCCTAACACTGAAAAAAACATGCATGTGCCACTGCACACAGCTTCCAGCGTGCTTCCGTCCAGGGCCTGTCCAACGGAAATCACACGCCCTGCTCAGCCTTCCAGGCTGCAGGCCCCCAGGGCCAAGCCATGACCCCTGAACAGTGGCTGTGAGCGGAACAGCCCTGGCCTGGTCCCCCAGGCTCAGAACCAGGCATGTGCTTGTTCCAGCATCCGTGGGCTTGAACCGCCCTTCACACCCAAGTCTGCTGCTGCTCCTAATAAGGGAGTGGCCATAAACCCAACACCAGTGCTGGGTCCGCTGTGCCTCCCTGCAGCGGCCCTCCCTGCTGCTTCCCATGCCCTGCCCCTCAAGGCTGGGAGACCAGTCCTTGTCTGCTCTCAGCAGGGCCCTCCAGTCCCCAAGAGGCCCGGGGTCCTGCTTCCAGATGGCGAGAGGCTGAGCCCTTTACTTCTCTCTCACCACACTGTGCGGCCGGGGACTTCCACTGCAAGATCACACAGAAGCAGCATCCGAAGATGTCTACCCCTTCTTGTCCCTGTAGCTGGGGGAACCCTACATAATTTAATAATCTGGATGTTATCTGCAATGCTCTACATCAGATTTGGGAAGTTCTTTTCTATTCCTAGTTCATTAAAATCTTAGATATATTTTTTGAATGGGTTCAGGCACGCTTGTAGCCCTATCTGCGTGGGAGGCCAAGGCAAGGGTACCTGTGAAGGCCAGGACTTTGGGGCCCACATGGGCCACACAGTGAGCCCCACCTTCCAAACCATGAGCGTGATTGGGTCGAACTGTGTGCGATGCTGTTTCCCGCCTGTGGAGATGACCATGTTTGCGTCGTCCTGCCAGGGCTGTGAAGGCACTCCTCCAAGTGCTGCCCTGCACCGTCGCAGACCTGGCCGTTGAAGTGAGAACACAAGAGGAGGTGGCTCTGGCGAGGTCCTGAAGAGTTCGGACACATGGCCCTCGTCCCCGCTCTGGCTCAGCTGTGGTGCTCGGGTGCCTGTGGGGAGGAGGCCCCAAGAAGCCGTGGCCTTCACCCGCCCTAGGTCCTGGTGTCTCAGTGGCCTCCTGGACCAAAGGGCAGCTTGCAGGACCGTCACCACTGGACTCCCCAGCCCTGGCCCGGCCTTGACTGTTGCTGTGTGCTGAGTAATCACTGGGCCAGAGATGGCCCGCTGTGACCCTTGTGCTCACCACTCACGAGATGCCCCACCCAAGTTCACATCCCACCCAGGGCTGCATCTCCTCCAGC